CTAAAATGCATATTTTCGGCGGTATTTGACTATAACACTTTAATTTGAACACCCGGTATACTGCGTGGTTTTTGTGACAATTTCCTTTTTATCACTAAACGTGTTTTGAAAGTATTCATCCATTTCTGTGACTTGCTGCAACTACTGTTCTGATTGTTGAATTAAACCTCCAAACGACAAACTCTGAATCCAGGAGGGCATGCTATAATTGTGAACGGATGTATTTTCTTTGGTTTCATACGTGTACATTCCCAAGTTAGGGTGCTTTGCTTTGTGCTTCTTGGCCAAATAACCAGCAATATATGCAAACTCATCCTTCTCTGATTGCTTCCCACTTGATAAATGAGAATCCGTGCTACTTGAGGATGTACTACATTCAGTTTCAACTTTATCGTCACATACTTGTTGCAGCTTCCCTTATGTATGTCTCACTCCACTCGGATTTTATGCACTTGGATCTTTTCTTTTCATATAAAAACAGAATATAACACCTATTTTATTCACACAGCGAACAAATTACGACAATCTGTGAAACTACAAAACGGCCAAAACGCACGAAACTAATACCACAGCCCAATACGTTCGGCAAACGGCACGCTTGATGACGCGTGTTCTCATCTCACCCCTCTTCGTCAGTGCTGTTACCATGCAACCTAACTAGTTTATGGACCTTGCTCGAAACGTATAAAATTGTTTATAGTCACAACAAATAACCTCACTGTACAAACGTTATGCGGCGACTGACTGCTTCCGCAGACGTGACGCGACAAGTATGAAAGTAAGTGGGAGTAGCACAGTGGTCTGAAGGTCAAATCAAATGCCTTCATGGGACCCTTCCCTGTTAACAAACTTTCAAACACTCGCCTATGCCTTTTATGTATTCCTTATGGGCATTGCGACTGCTATACCAGACGCGGCATTTTCAGTGGTCTAGTAATCGTCTGCTATCGCATTCCTGTCCCCACACATGTGTCTGCAATTGCAGACACGTCCGTCAATGTGTTAAACATAATAAAGGGATTACTTACGCCCGGCAGACGAACGGTTTTAAAATTACAACCTAAATTATTACAGACATGTTCATTGTTCATTCAAACCTTCGGTAGTTGGTTTTACTGCCAGCTCTCGAACTATAAGAACCTAGTTTAATTTCTTTGACTTTTACTCTATAACTCAAACATGGCAAATACCTCCAACTCTAAATTTAGTTTTAGGCCTATGTGATCTGTTTATTCTTGAAAATAACCTAGTTAACATTTTAGATTGAAATTATAGTACAAAATTATTCACATCATTTTGAATAACGTTCGGAACTTCTCTGAATAATCTGAACCGGAGAATCTAAATTCCGTGGCCCATGTGCGATGACTCTATGTACATAAAACCAAGTCCCTCAAGTTTAATGGATACAAACTTTTCGTTCCGCCAGAACTCCACCCTGTGCAGAATTTGTTTCTTCTAATATATGTATGTTTTAATGTTTTTTGAGAAAATAGGAGTAGTTGGGAGTTAGTTTATGTCTAAAATAGAGACAGAAATATAGGGTCGCTACATTTGCAAGCTAAGTAAATCGGATTTACTTAAAACTACAGAAAATAGGAAGCGCTGTATACATTACAAATTCACATAAACCTAAAATTATACGAGTTTCGTAAAAGTTTGCTTCGTGACAAATTTCACTAAAATTGTAATTATTTTAATTAAATAGAAGCTAATTAGGAAATTAGATAGTTACAAAAGTTGTCGGGTTAGGTGGCATAAAATATTCAGACATAGTTTATATTCTTTAATGTACAAGATAAACTTACTTAAAATCAATTCGATAAGGCAGTAATTCATTTTTTTATTCCAAAATTCATAAAAATAATAAATAATTCAAGACATCCTAAATTTTTGGTTCCAACCTTATTGAGAATAAGCCCTCCACGCGAAAACGCGTAGAATAAAACTAACGAGAAATGATTTGATTTTGGACAAAACACCGAGGAAGTATAACACTGGCCAACAAAATTTCACTTTTTGACTGATCAATGACTTATGTCATATGATGTTTACTAATTTTAAGTCGCTGATTCTAAATATACCGTCACTTTTTTCTGACAGCTCTTGTTTACTAGTTATAGCCATAGCCCTCAGAAAGTCTAGATACCGCTTGGCGAATGCCGTCAATACAAAAAAATGACCCCATTCAAGCTTGTCGCCATGTTAGGTAAATTTATGTTTTGGCTACACTGATTTTTAGTTTGTGTGTTCTGTAATACGTGAACACCGATAATCTGCACTTTGTTATTAGTTATAAGTGAGTGAGACGCACAATTTCTAATTTCAAATTAAGAACAAAACTTTGACAAACCTATTTGATTTTCCTAGATCTGTTCGGACAGGAACGGTTTTATAAATTTTCTCGTTCTTGTAATGTTATTTTTACATGGTTATATATATATTATTGGATAAGTGTTTTGTGTACATATTGCTATGAGAATTATAGAGAAATTCAGTGAGATTTATGTAATATAATTTAAATTACAAGTAAACCATCTGTTCCTGTTTGGCAATATGGAGAAAATACCTACTTCAATGTCAAATGTACTATTTAAAAGAATGTGATTGTTAACCGGTCATTTATTTATATTATGAAAATAAAAACTCGAATTTTTTAACTAGGGAAAGATATACTTACATCGGTAACAAGGTATTTTTAGAAAAACTAATAGATTACTCCTATTCCTATAGTTTATTTGAAAATGAATAATAGCAAAATTATATAAAAATATGGACCTTTGCCATAAAAACTGTGCTACCAAGCATTTTCAAATAAACTATAATGATAATTTGATTTAATAGAGCGAGCATAAGATCTCACCTGTTAGAGAAATTGGGGCATAGGGAAGAGATTATGAAGCAGGTAAGCAAAGTCGTTGCAAAAGATAAATATATAGAAGTTATTTTAAAAATTTGATAAAAAACTAGTGGAACAACAAATGGAGTTGTCGCTATCGGAGATCCAATCAGCAGAAAGTAAAAAAAAAACTTTGGGAATGTTGGAAAAGGGCACAGCAATAGGCCCAAAACAATTCCTTGGTTTTTTAATAAATAAAATCTTGTGAGATGTAAAAAATACTGCTAGAGTGGAGAAGCAGTATTTTTCTAATGTAGAAAACCCAGGGACATACAGCAGTGCACTAACCATAGGCGAATAGTCACTAAATTATACAAGAGTCCCATCTCGATTTTATTTTTAAATATTTTTGAGAATACCTATTATTATTTGTTACATTGAGTTTAATAAAACCACAGATTTTGAATGTATTGAAAGTTATTTAAAAAGTACCTCTATAAATATATAGAAAACGTGTATATGACTAACTGGTTTTATTAATCTTTTTTTGGTGTAGGTAAATATATTTTAGAAAATTTACAATCTTCTTTTGAATAAAAGACAAAATATTTTTGTTTTTATTAACTGAACAATATTTTATACAAACATATTATATACCTATTTAAAAGAAAATATTACATTTTACAAGTATCGCATATTTATATGAAATAACTTACTCAATAAGAAATAATTAAATGAAACAAATTAATATACAATGGATATGAAAAATTGCTTTAACAATTTAATCCTTAGATAAACTTATTCTTACATATTGCTTTAATCAATTTATTTACTATAAAAATATATTTCCTATCATTTATTACATGTAATAAAATAAAGCATAAAACATACAAACTATAATATGTACCTACTTAGAACGGAACTAGTATTATTGTATCAAGGTAGTAATAGTGGACATTTTCCGAATAAAAAAAAGTAAAAAAGAAGTAACGGTCGACACGTTTTTCTGACTATTGGTCTTCATCAGTACGGTGCAGCCAAGTTCAAAGGATCATGGAACGTGTGTTGGAAAAATTGTACAATAGGTCACTAACAAGGAGCCGTTTCAGCTAGTATCCCCAAATTTTCTCGGCTTATACTAAAGTCACAAAATGATTCAATGGTCTTCCTATGGCTATCAGTTATTCTTTCCTAAAATTTTTTGGTATGCTACAACAAAACACAAATTATTTGATTTTGAAAATATACAAATATTTTTAAAAACTTACACATGAAATGTTATTCCTTCCTTGTATCTTCTACCGTTGGATGCATTGTTACATTCACGTACAAAACAACAAGAGATTTTGAAAATCCTGTAAAAATTTAACACCAAACCACAAATGTTTTTTATTAAAATAAAACACTAAACGACTAAACTAAAAAATAATGTTTGAAATAAAACCTTTACTAGAAGAACAAAATAAACAACACAACAGATAATAAAATCGATTATATACGTCGAACGCCGATCTTACGCTTATTACTAAACTTGTGCCGATTCTGTCTTGTCAGAAGCGCCAACTTAAAATTTATTGACATTTATTTATCATGGCGCCCATCATATGGGGGGTCAAAATGTTTTTACGATGCGGTATCTAGACCTTCTGAGGGCTATGGTTATAGCTTTTACTAAAAATTCGCTGTATTATAGTGTTTATTTACAGTTTATTAAATAATAATTATTAAATTATTATTCATATTAAATTTTATTTGGAAATACCATTAATTTATAATCCTCTTTAACGACCCCTGTGTTGTACGACTGCGGATATCCCCTGTAGTTTCTTGGAACATACTTTAATGACCGGTAAAACCCAATTTCAGAATTCGTAAAAAATGATCTTCTGTTATTTTATGGGAAAGGTTTAGTAAGACAATAGTGAAATTATCTTTCTTGTTTGAATTATTGTTTTATTTTGTAATTAGATATGGCATCGTCAAGAAGAGTATATGTGAATGATTCAAACAATTTTTGTTTCATTTGCGGAGAGTATGTATTTAAAGAATACCGTTTAAATATGACAACGTTCGTAAATGAGGCTTACAAAAATTACTTTGGGCACCCGCTGAAAATGAAAAATAAGCCTTGGATTACGCAAAATGTATGCAAAACATGCGTTGAGTTTCTACATTTATGGACAAATAAGAAAACACATAGTTTCAGGTACAAAACCGATATGATTTGGAATGAACCCATGAACCATCATGACCATTGTTATTTTTGTTTGGTGAAAATAACTGGTATTAACCGAAAAAATAGAGTTAAATGGGAATATCCTTCCATACAATCAGCACATAGACGTGACCTGAGCACTAAGTCTACACCTGAACCTCAATCTGGTACTTTACAGCAAGAGACAGAAGATTTTAAGACGAAAGAGGACAGTAGTGATAGTGACTTTAAATGCGACCTGGGAACGCCAAAACCATTTAGTCAAGATCATTTAAACGACTTAGAGATTACCGCACAAGAGAACAAAATTTCCTCAAACATTTTGCTAAAGAAGACAATTTCGTATTTTGTAAAGATGTACCTGGATTAATGGCTGCAATGGGATTACAAAATTATGCTTCTAGTGAGTGGCGTTTATTTATAGACTCGTCAAAACGAAATCTAAAATGTGTTCTCTTACCCAATGGGAATAAATTAGAGTCGCTGCCTATTGCACATTCTACAAAAGTAAAAGAAGAATATACAACTATTGCTCTGGTTTTGGACAAAATTAAATATGTGGAAAATAACTGGATCATATATGTTGATTTAAAAATGGTCAACTTTCTATTAAACCAGCAAGGTGGCTATACAAAATATCCTTGTTTTCTTTGCTTGTGGGATAGTAGAGCTAAAAATCAACATTGGATTAAAAAGGATTGGCCTACTCGGAAAGATCTAGTTCCAGGACAACAAAACCCAACTTTAGTGTCAAGAGACCGTATAATTTTGTCCCCGTTGGATATAAAATTAGGGCTTATTAAAGGTCTTAACAAAACTAGAAAATGTTTTCTATTTCTATCAAAAAAATTTCCAAAACTGAGTGTTGAAAAGATACAAGCAGGCATTTTCGATAAGCCATAGAAAATATCATTAATAGAAGACACAAAATTTACGGACACTATGACAAAAATTGAGAAGAATGCATGATTACAAATGAGTTTGTTTGGCTTGTTCAAACTTTTTTGGGAAATAAGAAAAGTTTTAACTATTCTCAACACGTTGAACAACTAATGAGTCACTTTTAAACCCTAGGATATAACATAAGCATCCAGTTGCACTTTATTTACAACCACCTAGATTATTTTCCCGATAAACTTGCGAATATAAGTAAAGAACAAGGCAAGCTATTTCACCAGGACCTTCGTACGATGGAGAAACGGTATCAAGGCTACTGGAACGCACAGATGATGGCTGACTATTGTTGGAGAATTCAGAACAGTTCTATGGGTTCAACCCCTGCAAGGAAGTCTTATAAAAGAAAGTTTTTTTGCCTTGAGAACTAAATAAAATATGATTAACTTTAAACAAATTGTGTTTTACTATAAAACGGCCATGTGTCATATTTTCTAAACTAGAGCTAATACAGAAATTTAGATTACAGATTTAAAGTCTTTATTAAAAATTAAGCTAGTGCCATGTAATATAACTTAATCATCAGAAATGCTGTTGTGCAGTGTAATAGATGTTTTTGATCCTTGTTTACGGTTTTTGATAAACGTACGAAAAATTGAAATTAGTAAAAATTATAATGGAATTGCCTGTATCTTCTTGATTTGATTTCATTTACGAATTATTAAATCAGTTACCAAACTCAATCCTACAATCTTACTGTTCAAAGAATATTATTTATTTGTATGTGTTAAAGGTATATTAATTAGACGTTCTCATATAATATTTATTAATTTTTCTTATCGAACAACTATTACATCTATATCTATACAAAATTTATAGGGCAGAAGAATGAATTTTAGTTGCTTACTTTGTTTTAACGTTAGTTCTAGTCAGTTTGGATATTAGACGCGTTAATATTAATCGAAATTCAAGTCGTGTAAAATATTAATTTGGTAGCTATAACAATAGGCATTTAACCCGTATCCTGGGATAATTTATTTTTAATTAAATTACACTACGTGCTGTTTGTCTTTCATATCGTATTGGATCCCATTATATTAGATTTACGTACCTTCCGTGTAATATTGGCAACTTACTAAACATTTAAGTTTAATGGCATTAAAGAGATCAAACATAATTCTGCAGATTCATATTATGAATGATTAAAAGAGTATAATTAAAGCAATTTTTCTCTAAATTCTTAAAATTCAACAGTAACTTCTCATTTTTTTTGTAATTTGAACATACAATTTCTCTATATTTAGATTGCACATCTTTTTGCAAAATGTATTTGTATTTTTATGGTAACCTAATATTTTTATATATTTTTTAGATAAAATGACTCGTTTTTGTATTTTTAAATTTAATTTAATAGGGCTTTTTTTTAATGGCAATTGTGATTAACATGGGTCTATTAAATACAATTTTCTCCGAATTAGTGTTTGCCAAAATGGTTTTTGCATTATTATGAATTTTGAATGCTATAAATACACGATTATTCTTTAAATTTTAAGTAATTAAAATTTAAATATTTAACATTAATATTTTAATTTATTTTTATTATTGATAAAAACGCTTTAATCCACAACAATATAAAAGTATTCAAAAAAAGTTATATGAATTATTTTTTTTTAATGCAAATAAATACATCTTTAGAGTTTTGCAGTGCTATTTATAATTGTTAGTAAGTCCAAACTGTGTAGTTTAATGAAATGTTTATCTAGTGTCGTAATTATTTATTTAAAGTTTTGATACATTAACAAGTAGTGCTTTATTCCCTAAACGTAATTTTATTCATTCTTTCTTAGGTACCTTCTCAACTCGTGCGTTAGCAACTCGGGTGTGATGAAAAACTACCTGAATTCGTCGCAACTCGGGCGCCCTCCAAAATTGTGTACCTGTGAATTCGCAAATCGGGCATCGACGGGATATGAAATTTGACCCAGATTCTGATTATAGTCTGATTTAAGTAGTTATGACATCGTAATGAATTATCGAGAATTTAAGACAAGTGAATGACAACACAAAACAAGCTTTGATGTAAAAAATTGAAGATTTTTCCATTACGGTTCATTTTAGATAAATCAAGTGTAGAACAAAAATTATAGAGCATGATAGTATTATAAGTGATAATAATGAGAAAAATGTATGGTACAAAAATTATAGAGAATTAGTCGTAAGCAACTTTTAGTTAAAGAATTTTCTCTAAAATTTAAAGTTTGCAATTTTTGTCAAAGGACCACGCACTTTTCTTATGCAAACGGGAGTACCGTCAAAATGTCTGAATTTTTGATATGTTAAATTACTTGATGTCCCCATCAAAAGTGTTAATGGGCCCAATCGTATCCTATTACTAGATTTTGAGATACAGGGTGTTGAAGTTAGAAATCCCTAATTCTTTAAAATGGACACCATAAATCACCCTTAACTATATTTGGAAGTTATTTGCTTATTCTGTATAGTCAAAATATATACTTAACTACTTTAATTAAAATATTGTCCCTTACAGGGTGATTAATGATTCGGCAAATCTTTTTTGGTCAAAGTAGGTATTTCCACCGAACAAAAATAGCTGAAAAACCGAAAAAAGAAAAATATATATCACCGTCAAAGTTTCTCAATATTTGATATCGTAGAGTACTCGATGTACTCTTTCAAAAATTCTGTTCGGTAAAATTAGATCCTATGACTATTTTTCCAAATATAACTTAATATGTACCAAATATATGAATTTTAAACAATAAATATACTGACATAGGTAGATGTGTTTCCGAGAAATACTAGATATTAGATAATTTGACACAGTGTGTTGGATTAGAAATATACCCCTTGTACTCTTTTAGGGCAGCCAAAATTATTTCGTAGTTACAGGGTGATTGCGATTGAATATGTAAGGTGAAAAAATCAACAAAATGTTGAAATTGTTGACAAAAAATAGAAAATAATTGCCTTTTAACTTTGGAGATATTTATCAAAAAAAAATCTTATTAGTTCACATACAGAGTCATACATTATTTCATTACAAAAAAAGTTCGTTATACGGTAGGTCTAAGTAGGATTTAGGGAAATGAATAACGATCGAATTAAATGTTTATTTTGACTGAAGTATTGGCTCTTTCTATTGCCTCTTTATGTATATTTATATCAGATTGGGAACTCATCTGACAATCCATGTCTCAGTTTAACAAGGAAAGCAAGTAAATATTTTCGAGCAATGTTGCTTACGTTACTATATTATTTTATTGGTTCACAAAATTTATATAATACTTGGAAATTCTGTTTAGAAATTGAAGTTAAATATTTAAGTTCTTCTAAACTAAAAGAATTTTTGTCTTCCCAATTTTTAAATTATTATTAGCAGTAGTAGCCGCTCTTAAATTAACGAGGAAGAACGGTCTATAAACAAAACGCAAACTAGCATGTAAATTAATCATTAGTAAACTTGAAGATTTAGATCAGCTGTACTCAACCTTTTTTTCTTTCAGGCTACATAAATCTATTTATTATGTTACATGGGCCAAAATATTTTTGGGTGATAACTAAAGTTGCAACCTTTTTGAAATGCAAATAAAGGACAATGGGTGAAGTAGGAATCCGCTTTAAATATTTTCTAAAAAAAAGGTCCTCATGTTGTTTTGATACAGGACTGTAGCTCAACCATTTCAGTTACTAATAATCGTGTTTCGGGCTGCACAAAAAATCTTGGAGGGCCGCACACAACAGCTTGGAGAGCCGCATGAGACCTGCGGGCTGCAGGTTAAGTATGACTGATTTAGATGAATGTCACAAAAATCTTCAGATATTCGGGTACATAAATATTTGGAACTAAAAAAATATTTGCTCTGCATACTGCCGATAGTTTTCTTACATTTACTTATGCGTTACAAATTATACAACCACGAACTGAGTGGGGTGTTAAAACATTAAGTCTTAGGCAATTTGGACCATTTTCAATATTTCTAAGTTTCTGTGTAATTGCGTGATAACAGTTTAAACACAATCTTACTTCTTGTAGATTATCGATTGCAGGATGCCCGGCAGCTTGTCTTCTTAAATTAGCAACGTTAAGTACATCTATATTATTGTCTTTGTTTGAACGAATAGTGAGTCGAAGTTGAAAGTGTCTATTGCAAATATAACAGCTTATCCTATTTGCAAACGCCATACTTGCAACAATATTTATTTAAAACACTAATACAGAACGGTCTAATGCGCACTAAAAGTAATACAAATGTCATTTATTATAAAAGTCAGCAATAGATGGATGTTCAATTATTCGGAAAATATTTAATCATGAATATATATAAATCAAGTGTAAGCATGTTTATATATCCTATAAGGTTTTTGGCATATTCACCTCTTTTTAGAATTTACTAATAAAATCTATCAGTCGTCTAAAACTCATAGGTTACAAAATATACAGGGTAATCAATTTTTGTGAAAATCTTCGGAAAAATTATATATTATCACAGTAGATATCAAAAAGCAAAACTTTAGGCATGTAGGCAGTCTTAAGCTTTATATTTTATCATAACGAATATACAGGGTGATTCCTAACATGGTACCAGACTTGGTTGTGTCGATTACAACAAGCTATAACACTTTACGTCTGAAATGAAAAATTACAGAGTTACAGGATATTAAAGAATAACTATATTTCCAAGTTTAAATATTTATGGCGTTATAATCATTAATCACTTAACAAAATGACTTGCATGCCTTTGCATAATGACAATATAAAAATAGGCCGGTGATTCGAAAATTACGAATATTTTGTTATCCTGTATTCATATCATATTGTTTTGAGAAGCCCTTGAAAAACTAAGAGAGGAATAGGTAAGCTGTAAACTATAAAAATATCAACAATTGTTTCGTGAAAATTAGAATAATATAGCTGCTCGACTTATTTTAAATATTTGAATGACCAATAACATGAAAATACTATTTCTTATATAAATGTGTACCAATAAGTAGATATGACATTTATACTTCATTGTGTGCCTAACTAGTACTCAATGGATTTCATAGAAGAATACTCGCAATGAATAAGAAGACAGTTAAGAAGTTGATAATTTCTCAGATTTTTCTGCTTATTGACTACTTTATTCTGAGGATCCATTAAATGTTTTTAATTTCTAGTTATTAAAAAACTATGTCAGTTTGACAAAGTTTGTTATTGCCTATTTAAAATATTAATGTATGCATATTTATAATCATTTTTTAATAAAAAACTCACAAGCAATTTATTTTTTAATATTTGGCAATAATTTTATATATTGTTGATTTTTTCACCTTGCAAGTTCAACTGTAACTATCTTTTAGGGGATGCGACTTAAAACAAAATGTATTGGAGGCTTTACCTCATTGGTGGCGTGGAATGGAGCTTATAATCTTATTTAAATATACAATACAAATAGGCACATACGACAATAACTCGAGCCAAATAAACCTGTAATCCGATCATAATTTTTCTACATCCTACTTAGACCTACCGTATAATCAACTTCTTTGTACTTGAATAAAGTATGACCCTGTATGTGGACTTATAATATTTTTTTGATGAACAACTCACAAGGTAATTATTCTCTATTCTTTGGCAACAATTTCAATATTTTGTTGACTTTTTTATCTTACATATTCAACCGCAATCACCCTCGAAGTTTTTGTCCAAATAATACAAGGGTTATATTACTAATCTAAACACAGTGTGTCAAAATATTTAATATAAGATATTTCTTTTGAAAATATCTACTTATGTCAGTATATATTTATTGTTTAAAATTCATTTATTTGGTATCTACTTGTTATATTTTGTGAACCAATAGAACACTATTATGGTAACTTAAGAAGCATTGCTCGAAAAGTTTTACTTGCTTTCCTTGTTAAACTAAGACATGGATTGTCAGATGAGTTCTCAATCTGATATAAATATACATAAAGAGGCAATAGAAAGAGCCAATACTTCAGTCAAAATAAACATTTAATTCGATCGTTATTCATTTCCCTAAATCCTACTTAGACCTACCGTATAACGAACTTTTTTTGTAATAAAATAATGTATGACTCTGTATGTGAACTAATAAGATTTTTTTGATAAACAACTCCAAAGTTAAAAGGCAATTATTTTCTATTTTTTGTCAACAATTTCAATATTTTGTTGATTTTTTCACCTTACATATTCAAACGCAATCACCCTGTAACTACGAAATAATTTTGGCTGCCCTCAAAGAGTACAAGGGGTATATTTCTTATCCAACACAGTGTGTCAAATTATCTAATATATAGTATTTCTCTGAAACACATCTACCTATGTCAGTATATTTATTGTTTAAAATTCATATATTTGGTACATATTAAGTTATATTTGGAAAACTAGTCATAGGATCTAATTTTACCGAAAAGAATTTTGAACGAGTACATCGAGTACTATACGATATCAAATATTGAGAAACTTTGACGGTGATATTTTTTTTTGTATTTCAGCTATTTTTGTTCGGTTGAAATACCTAGTTTGACCAAAAAAGATCTGCCGAATCATTAATCACCCTGTAAGGGATAATATTTTAATTATAGTAGTTAAGCATGTATTTTGACTATACAAAATGAGCAAATATCTTCCAAATATATTTAAGGGTAATTTATGGTGTCCATTTTAAAGAATTAAGGATTTCTAACTTCAACACCCTGTATCTCAAAATCTAGTCATAGGATACGATTGGGCCCATAAACACTTTTGATGGGGACATCAGGTAATTTAACATATAAAAAATTCAGACATTTTGACGGTACACCCGTTTGCATAAGAAAAGTGCGAGGTTCTTCCTCGAATACGCACCATTTTAAGGAAATCATGAATATGATAAAAATTATAGATAATAACATCACAAGCAACTTTTATTTAAACAATCTTCATTTCCAAACGTAAATTACAGATATATTTCTTAAAATAGAAAAACAACCCTCTATAAACCCATAAAGCACAAAAACACAGTAAATAATATTTCAAAAATGTAACACTGAAATATTTGTATTATTGAAATATTGTAAAAATATCCTGTAAATGTAATATTTTATATATTTCATGAATAATAATTTGAAACCTTTCAGAAATATAACATACTTATATTTCAGAAATGTATCCGATAACAGACGCAAAACTTCCAGTTATTTAGAATGTACGGTGGTCTCTGGATATAGGCTGAAATAAAATTATATTACTTAAAATAAAATGACTGCAACATAACCCATCTTCTTCCTCTTCTTACATTTGAGAAATTTTTCAAGTCTTGTCCATTTACAACATAACCCATTTTGTAACCTTTTGTGTAACATTTATAAAACATTTTCAGTGAAATAGTTAACTAAAATATTTCAAAAACTTGTGCTTGAAATGTTATATGTTTAAAACGTTTGAAAAAGTTCTGAAATATTGTGACCCAATGAGCATACGTACGTAAAAAAAAACGTTAAAAGGTTCTATTACAATAACGTTTTTTATATGACTTGTTCTTTAATTAAAACCAACGTTAATATTCTACGTATAATCAATGAAAATGTTTAAAACGTTTAAAAATATTATTAAAAGAAAATAGAATAATTAGTATTTTTAGTTAAAATATAAAAAAAAAAAACGTTAAAAGTGTTCTGATACTATAACGTTTTTATTACGAGTTTATGTAATTTAAAGAAACGTTAATAATAAACATGTATGTTAATATTCAACTTTCGTTTAAATCACAATTACATAATAACTTTTAAAAAGAATATTAAAATAAACTATAATAAATAATTTTAAAACGTAGATATTTGATTTATATTATCAACCAAACGTTAAAAAGGTTGGATAAAAATAATATTTTACATATTTTATTTACCAAAATGATTAACTTTTTATTACATAACTACGTTTAAATATAATATTAAAATATAGTTAAATAATTAATATTCAAATAACGTATATATTTAGTTTAAAAAATAAACTAAACGTTACAATGTCTTTATATAACGTTTTTAATACGTTGATATGACACGTATTATTTACAAAAAATGTAACTTTCGGTTTATTTATAGTACCAACAGAGATAAATATTAAACCTTAATTATAAACGAGAAAATAACATTATAAAAAAACGTATTATTTTATCAAATGTTCAACGTTCACTCAAAAATAGTTAGAAAATAGTATTTTATAAACGTTTAATTTTTCAACTAAAATTTCAACGTTGAATTTGCAACTAATAAGGATTTTTATACCAGACAACGTTATATTTACGTTGAAAAAAATTATGTGTGTTCATTGGGGTGGTGTATGGGAAGTATCTCTAGATGCTCCAACTATACCCAAAATCTAATAAACTCATTAAAAGATGGATTAAAGCTTAAGCTTAAAATTTAGTGTTTTTCTCTTTATCCGTTTTAAGGCGGGTACTGACTAGAGCATTTTTACTCGCACAAAAGCAAATATATTGTTCGCGAAAATTATTTTTAGCATAAAATTAGTGCGCGTTAAATTGTCGTTCCAGTGATATTGTTGAAATGTCGGCGAGAAGACGAAATGTGATTATTGCAAGTGCCGCCTTTATAGTATTGCAAGAGGTAGAGAAAAATAGGAAAAACCGTAAGTGATGGTGGATTACAAAATTATTTGAGAGCAGGCAGGCATACAGTGGGTATAATTTATTAACAGATATGAGGCTACATGAAAACAGTGGTCACTTTAAAAATTTTAATCGTATGTCATCTGAAGATTTTATGTTTCTAATAAATGCGATTGGTCCAAAAATTGGTAAAACTGATACTAAATTTAAAAGATGTATTAGTGTACAAGAACGGTTAGCTATTACCTTGCGTTTCTTCACCACCAGAGATTCCTACACGAGTCTACAGTATTTATTTAAAATTTCGAAGTAGGTAATTTCTACAATTATTCCTGAAGTCTGCAAGGCGCTGATTGATGTGCTAAAAGAACATGTACGGGTGAGTATGAAAAGATATTTATTTATTAATAAACGTAATGTAATGTATAATTCTTAAATAAAAAATGAACTAGAACAAAAACAATAATGAGAATAACATCAAATAGGATATACAACAAAATTTATATGAAAGGAATTGGTATTTCGTAAGTTTACAAGTTTATAAATCTAGAAAAACAGCATTTAGATCGGGCATATCCAGTGAGAAATGCGAAGAACTGGGTGTAGGGCATTGATAACTAGAGTTTAATTGGGAAATACTTCCAGGAGAAGGTGTTCGATGGGTCCAGTCCATACGTGCATACGCATTCATGGGAGAAGTTTCATATTTTCCTCTGTCTGCTGCATATGAAATTTGGTTTATTGCATGCTTAACTTCAACACGTGTCCTTGGGCTATATGTTTTTAATTTGTTTCCGAAATGTGCGCCACAAACAGAGAATGGATCTGCAGGTTCTTGCGGACAAGCAACGGTTTCTTTCAAAATGCGATAGGCCTCTTCAGCTCTTGAGTTGCTGTTCTTTGTACTTATTTTGTTTCTTTTTGGTTTGGGTGATTGGAAAGTATGGCACTCATCCGTTTCATTATTTATGGAAACAGGTTTCTCTATTATAGATGAAGCATGGCCACCAGTTTCATTATTACCCGTCAGAGTTACATCAATGTTTTCTGAAACATGGTCTTCGGCAATATTTTCGTCGATGTTTTCGCACGGAAAATATAAAAATATTTTATTTACACCTTTATAATAAACTATACAAGCAAACTATTTGTTTGATTTTCACTAATTTGATAATTTATTTTAATAATTATTTTGTAGATTCTGTAGAAAATATACTACAAAATATCTAATGAGAGTGGTCGAGGCGTTAGGGTGCCTGACTTACAAAGGATACTCCGAAACATGTCTTAAACGTTGTAAATGCTATTGAACAGTGGGGAATTGTTGGTTTCAATTTGATCATTTAAAATAATATTCTCTTTTTTGTATCTATTAATGATTCTAAAACATTTAATTTCTGACTTTTATTTTGAACATGAGGTGTTTTGAGACTTAGTTTGCTTGTATAGTTTATTATAAAGGTGTAAACATAAATTTTCTTCAAGTAAAGATCGAAACAATAACACATTGTGTTTGTTTTCAGATGCCATCAACCCCTGAAGAATGGCTTGAAATTTCATAAAGATACACAGAATTATGGAATTTTCCAAATTCCGTTGGGGCAATAGATGGCAAGCATGTTGCTTTACAAGCGCCATTTAATAGTGGGAGCGAATATTACAATTATAATGGTTTTTTCAGTATTGTGCTATTCGCGGTGGTTGATGCCGACTATAATTTCATATATGCTGATGTTGGATGCCAAGGAAGAATTTCGGACGGTGGAGTATTTAAACATAGTGAGCTCTATAAGAAATTGGCCCGGAACGAGTTGAACCTACCACAAGATTCTAATTTACCCGATCGTGAGAAGAAAATACCGTATGTTTTTCTTGGCGATGAAGCATTTGCTTTATTTCGAAATGTCATGAGACCGTTCTCAGGCCAGTTTCAACAAAGATCTTCTAAACGTATTTTTAATTATAGACTTAGTCGAGCTCGCAGATTAGTAAAAAATGCATTTGGAATTTTGTCCGCTGTGTTTCGGATATTGAGAAAACCTATGCTACTCCAGCCAGGAAAAGCGAAATATATAGTATTGGCAATACTTTTTTTTTACGCAATTTTCTAAGAAAAAATCATCGCTCTAAAGATACGCCACCAGGAACATCCGACAATGAAGTTAATAAACAGTTTATAGTGGGTAGTTGAAGAATGCAGAATGACACCATGACATCGCTAATACCTATTAGAAATATACCTCGAAAATCAAGTTTACCTGCTCAAGAAATTCGTGATGAATATAAAGCCTACTTTTCAACCAATGGCCGTGTGCCGTGGCAGGATGAATATGCTTAATTCGTATAAAAATATTGAATTCAACTGCTTACCTGTATGTCAGCTGTGTCTTTGAGCTCGTCTTTATCCAATAAAAAGTGAAACCTTTTAAATGCGAACCACTTCGATACATAAACTTCGTCAGCACCTGAAATAAGAAGAAGGTTATGAAGTTAAAGCGGCAGTAATAAATAAGCAATTTATATACCATTATCTATTAATAAAATGTTATTCATACTTTTAGTATTTACTTACCTTTACCTGTTCCAGTAGTCTGTGTACCTTTAGCTTTTTCTCTGCGGAAAGAACCCAGCAGACTGCTTATTTTTTGTTTTACATCCAAAACACTAATGTTTAAATTTGTAGCTATGGTAATCCAATCATCCTGCTTCTTCTGTCTATTAAAATGCAAAGTATTTTTTGGATCCCATAAAAGACGACATTTTTGGTACTCATCTATCAATTTCAGGGATAATTCATTGTTCCATTCCATTTTTATTTAGTTCACTAGACAAACAACAAAACACAACGACAACTACGTCCACACTGAGTATGTTATGCGTACGAAAACCTTTTGATCTCCTCGAAAGACCGACAGCCGCCGGATCGTGTTTGTGCGCGCAAAATTGCTACGCGTACGCATGTGCGTGGAGTCCTCATCTGATCATTTTTACGCGTAAGTCGTTCGTGTGAGTGAAAATGCTCTAGTCAGTACCCGCCTTTAGAGTTATCATGAATAGAGACACGTAAACATAATCACGAAAACAGTTAAAATGGGTCCAGGAGACCACCAAAACGTAAAAATCAGTCGTAAACTCGAGGCCGAAAAAAATCATGATTTCTATACATTTCTTATCTGTATACATACGGGAAAGTAAAAAAGAATAAATACGCTAATTGAAACCCTTAAACCTAAAACGAATATTAATTAATAATTATCACTCCAAATTTTTTTCAAGTACCAATCAATTAGTTTTATCAAAAAATTATGCATGGTCCAAAACCTTAAATACACCCATCATCAATTTGTATAAGTCGTATACTGTGTTTGTCAAAAAAATTATTTTTGACAAACCTCATATACGACTAATACAATTTGATATCTGATGGTTGCATTTAAGGTTTTAGATCACGCATAATTTTTTATGAAGACATTTTTTTCATAGAATTATTATCAAAAAAAGTTTTTCATATGCCATCAACTATTCTCGTATACGGCCTAAAAAATATGGTATCTGATGGTTGTATTTTAGGTTTTAGACCATGCACAACTTTTTATGCTCAATAATTTTTTTTGATAAAACTAATAAAAAAATAAGTTTTCCATATGTATCCAACTTATACGGACATAAGAAATGTATTAAAATAAAAAGTAAATAGCTAGGCCGAGGTAGGTACACTATTATTAATCAATTTGATTATTACATAAAAAATAAATTATACTTTTTTCAATAAAAACGACAATTTTAAATGTCATAATAATATAAAGTTAAGACTAGTTTTGCAGAGAAAGATAAATAAAAAATCATGTTTTATGAAAGTTACATAATATTTAAAAACTGGCAAGCTCCCCTTGTACGGCACTCCGTATATAATTTTAATTTTAAGCCGAAAGCACCTTTTCAGGTTAAACTAAAGAAGTGACATTCATTATATTACTATAATATTGGTACCGATCCTTAACGCCCGAGTTGCGAAGGGTATTTAACCCACCTGTAGCCTTACGCTCGACATGCGAAAAATATTCCGCTCGAGTTGCGCATACATCCTTTCTTAAGACTATTAGTCAAATTTTGTACTTATTGTAAATATACATTTGTTAATATTTTACCTACTTATTATTAATCTCTCCCCCTTTCCAAACCAGCATTTGAGAAGCCTCAGCGTTTTTATTCCCTTATAGGACTAAAAGAATCTAAAACTAGTTGCCAAGAACCGCTCAACTATGCTATTAAAGGATAATTCTAAAGACCTATCAATCTTCTCGACGTTACTGATGAACCTCCTTCCTAACAGTCGAGAATTTCTAACCAAAATATTAGGATCGCTAATCCCGGCCATCTTCGGCCATTCATGCACCATCACTGGTCATGGAAATTTAGCAATTTTCACCTATTCCCTGATAAACCCTGACCTTCATTGGATTGTCTAATCGGCACAATAAACTGCAATGACCTCTCTCGGAAGAGGCCATTGATTAAAAACCTCTTAAACACAGAAAATCTTCAAATATTATCATTAACAGACACCAAGTCTAAACTTTCACCCAGCTTCACTAAGTATCAAACAGTCCACTTAAATAAATCTCAAAACTCTTTTGGGAATGCTCTTTTAATTAAAAATTTGTATACCTTCCAACCACACATATTTTCTGCTCATCTAGTAGAACTTGATATAATCACAATAGACAATCCATTAAGCATCATCTCATACTACAAGCGCCCAGGGCGGCTATCCTCGACAATCGCTAAAAAAACGAACCGTTTTCGAAAGTGAGTGGTTGAAAAGCGAGTAGTTTTTGAAATCTATATTCTTGACCGACGTTCGATGAGTATTCGTTTTTTAAGACGTGTACGTTTTAAACAAGCAAATAATATGTCTGGCATCACTGTAAACTGTCTATATCGTTGAATTCAAGTAATGTGCAGGCTATAAAAGAATAAGGATTATGTAATTTAATTACAACAAACCAATTGTAAATTTGTCGAACGATGATTTTTTCTAATCACATAATATATTGTAATGTTTGTTCTAAACACAACCTTTACAATAGCCCGTTGAACGCCTTTCTTTCTCTTTCCCAGGGGTAGTTTCAATAAGCACTTCTAATTTTATTTTAATTTTATTTTAACTTTATTTTAATTTTATTTTAATTTTATTTTAATTTTATTTTAATTTTATTTTAATTTTATTTTAATTTTATTTTAATTTTATTTTAATTTTATTTTAATTTTATTTTAATTTTATTTTAATTTTATTTTAATTTTATTTTAATTTTATTTTAATTTTATTTTAATTTTATTTTAATTTTATTTTAATTTTATTTTAATTTTATTTTAATTTTATTTTAATTTTATTTTAGTTTTATTTTATTTATATTTTAATTTTATTTTAATTTTATTTTAATTTTATTTTTAATTTTATTTTAATTTTATTTTAATTTTATTTTAATTTTATTTTAATTTTATTTTAATTTTAATTTTATTTTAATTTTATTTTAATTTTATTTTAATTTTATTTTAATTTTATTTTAATTTTATTTTAATTTTATTTTAATTTTATTTTAATTTTATTTTAATTTTATTTTAATTTTATTTTAATTTTATTTTAATTTTATTTTAATTTTATTTTAATTTTATTTTAATTTTATTTTAATTTTATTTTAATTTTATTTTAATTTTATTTTAATTTTATTTTAATTTTATTTTAATTTTATTTTAATTTTATTTTAATTTTATTTTAATTTTATTTTAATTTTATTTTAATTTTATTTTAATTTTATTTTAATTTTTTCATAGAATTTATTTGGAATTATGCAAAATTGTGGCAAAAAAAATGCTTAAATAAACAAACTTATAAAAATTACCTTATAGTTTAATTTTCAACAAATCATCATAGGAAAATTGAACAAATATTAAATATCTTGAAGAAAATAACCTATAAGCTACCCTACTACACCTACTAATTTCAAAACTGTTGTCAAACAAAATTTTACAAAATCCTAAACTTGATTGCTTAGGCTAGACTATAAATTTAGTCTGACATGGTAAAATTATTAACAACAAAACTATAACTATAAATATAACTGTTCAAAACTTTCAACAACAAAAAAAAAAACTTGTGATTAAATATCTATTATTCCTTTTTGAAAGTCATTAATGGCACAAATTAAAATGTTCATAAATACCGGTCTGGGTATCTCCACTTTCCAGTTTTATCTTCCTTCTTGGACTCCCGGTCTTATCCGTCTACCACCTTTTGCATGTACTCTCCTTTTTTATATCTTTATGATCTTATAATCTTTTAACACAGTAGCTTAACAGTTTGCTTATTTATTTTTATAATACTAGTAATATTATCTCTTCTATTTAGAAAACTATTGCTCCTCTAAAATTACTGACATTTCTTTTTCAAATTTCAGAATTGACAACCACCATTTTTTTTTTTTTAATCAATCTCCCATTTTTTTAAAGCCCGTTTCAAAAAAAAATTACTCTATAGGGTGTTCTACATAATTCCAATATATTTCATGTGCAAAATATACTTTGTTAATTTCTCATGACAAAATTACACCACAACAACATTCCCAAAATTTGTATACTCCAATTCTATTTCAAAGAAACTAGAATTGAGGATACCAATTTTCTATTAATTAAAATTAGTATTTGTATCAAAATTAATAATTACATTTGTACAAACATCCACATTGACGATAATACTTCATTGGTAAATCATATTCTTTTTATTTAGTTGATTTTTTTTTATGTTACTTGATTATTATACTTTATAAATAATTTGTTTAATTTTTATATACGAAGTATTCCCACAATTCAGTTGCATTAAAGACCCTTTACACGAGTACTGGTTTTTCTTTAGTTTATATTTTTAGATTTAAAAGCAGTAATCAATATCTGTATTATTTGTTTCTTCTACTTTACCTTGCACTTCTTTTATTTTTAATTATTTATACTATTTTGCTTCATCTATCTTAGTGTCCTTTTACTGTAGCTAATAATATTCCATTCCAATTCATATTTATTTACTCTCTATCTAATTTCATATAATTCATCATATTTCTCTTCATAATAAATTATTTAACACATTTACTCATTTCATAATAATATCATATTTCTCTTCATAATAAATTATTTAACACATTTACTCATTTCATAATAATATCATTTATATTTATTAATTATACATTATTATCATCATTTCACACATTTTTCATTTATTCGCCTATTTCTAAAACCATACTTCATTCATATACTTTATACATTATTTATATTCTTGCAATTCCTTTTCCAAATTTATCAATTCTTCAGCACAAAATTCTTTCTTTATTTATTGTTCTGTTACTTCTTCCCAATATAAGGTATTGTAGACTCATATGATACTTAATTTAAATACTTATGCTATTTTACAGATTTTGATTACTTAACTTTTATTTTTTTTTTTTTATTTTTTTTTTTTTTTTTTATTTTTAATTTATTATATATGTCCGTTACTTTTGCTTATATAGACTATTAGTATTATTTATTATATTTATACTCTATTTTATTATGTCTTATTGTTTGCAATTTTCTTTATCCTTTTTATTATTTATTTTGTTATTTTAAATTCTTATTTCCATATCTCCGTACCTTTAACTTGCATTTAATGGTCACTATTGTTACTA